TCAGTGCTACTTCAATCTACTTCAGTGCTACTTCAGTGCTACTTCAACCTACTTCAGTGGTACTTCAATCTACTTCAGTTCTACTTCAATCTACTTCAGTTCTACTTCAATCTACTTCAGTGGTACTTCAATATACTTCACTGGTACTTCAATATACTTCAGTGGTACTTCAATATACTTCATTGGTACTTCAATCTACTTCAAAAACATGTTGAAGTAGATGAAGTCTCGCTTTTTCCCCCTTGGAAAAAACACAACTGTCTTCAGATCATTTCTGTAGCTATGGTGATATATTACGTCGACAATGGATTAGTCGAGCAACTCATGAAACTAAAAATCTGACAACAGATCATATTCCTTCTATACGTAAAGTCAACGTAACCACAGAAATGTTATCAAATTCACTGCCTTCTGACAGTCAAACAAATCGGAGTGAAGATAAAGCAAGAGAAGTTGCTATCACAAGTAAAATATTAGTTTTAAACCTATTACTCTCATGAGTCTATCATCAAATTTCATTTTTAGCTTCGTAGATTTGTAAGATCTATTCTCACTGAATCTTGTGAGTGTGAGTTAAACCCTTAAAGATATATAGAGGACTAAAAAATACGAAATGTCTTTGAAGTGTGATCTAAAAATAATTTCATTTATCTTATTCGAATTTAGAACCTGTACAATCGGTTGAGAAGAAAATTGCTGATTGTGGTGGTAATGCTTGTCATAGTTGTCATCTTTGCTGTGATTGGTTTCAAGAAGGTAATGATTGGGAGTCTGCTCTTGATGCGACTTGCAGCTATCATCCTCCGAGTCGCGGTTTTTATTATCATATTGAATATGTTTGTAATTGTAAGAGAAAATAAATTGAAAGTATTTTGTTTTTATTGTCATGAAAGCTTACTCCCGATTTAACATAAAAGTTATTTCATGTTGCTACCAAAACTTTTAATTTAATGTCAGACTTTTATTTTATTTCAATTCATGATTGAAATTTCGTGCACTTTTATAATTGTATCAATAATGCAATTAGTTGACGAATATTGGATCTTCTTTGACTATTCCACCTCTCTTCCATTCGAGCTTGATTAATAAAAGGTAGTGTGTACGTTCTCTTTCTCTAGAATTGACACATGCCTTATCTCAGTCCATTTATCATTTTGGTTTTTGATAGAAAGAGAATAAATGTTAGAAATTGAATGTCTTGTTCTCTCTCTATCATTTATCCAGTGAATTTGAACTATGTCTCTCTTTTAATCTGTAAAAACTTGTCAAAATATTAGTTATAGTTTTTATTATAACGTTATCAATGATTAAAAAGAATTATAATACATATGGATCTATTGACTCTGACTGAAAAAATCTTTATAAATTATTTTTTATGATGAAGTAGAGTAAGAAAGTCAACACATTGGTCATAAAAATACTTTTTTTGTAAAGCTTTGACATCTATGTTTTTGTTTAAGATTCAATACATGAATTGTTATTTTCCATTCACTCAATACTATGTTTCCTCAAACAGAGATCTACAATGAATATATAATAGAAGGATATTTTATTTAATAAGAATAAAGCAGAAAAATGAATCAAAGTCATTTATAAAGTTAAAATAAAAAAAATGTTTTATTTAATTGAAGATAAATGATCGTTCCATAGATAGAATAGTTTTGTTAAGGATAAATTGATAAAATTTCAATATAAGAAACTATAGAATCAGTTCCTATTAGAATAATTTCCATATATCCATCATTATTGATATCAACTAATTGAGCATTCTGTGGTTCAAAATCAGTTGAATAAATGGTTGAATTGATAAATGTTCTATTTCCGACATTAAAATAAAGACCAATTCTTTGGTGACTATTATGTCCAAGAATAATATCTGATTGTTGATCATTATTCAGATCACCTATTGTTAGAAAAGTATTATCTAGTTCAACTGGATATTTAACTGATTGATAAAATGTGTCACTATTTTCCTTAAATAAAATTTGAAAATTAAAATCACGATCGCGATTACCAATAATAATATCCGTATTATTATCATTATCGATATCATTTAATAAAATAGTATGTACATAAGATTCAGGTGAATAATTAACTTCATCGATGAAACTTTTATTATGACTACCGAATAAAATACTTACATGTCCATCGTTATAACCAAGAATCAAATTAAATCTTTGATTATCATGAATATTAAGTACTTTGAAACGATTTACCAAATCTTTCATTTCATATCTTGTTTCATTACTAAAATTTCCATTTGCCATATTAAATACAATATATACACCTGGGATACCATTATACACGACTACAATATCCATATAATTATCTTGATTGATATCAGCAAGATCAATATATTTTATTTTTGAATTCATTTTGAGAGTTTTGGTACGATTGAATGTTCCATTGGCAGTATTATAAATAATAATCATCAAAGTGCTAGATCCTCCTTGAAAACCGATAAAATCAATTTTATTGTCATTATTCATATCAGCTTTGAACAAATAACCTATTCCAAAATCAATATCATGAGGAATTCCATTATTAAACTGATTATTAGCTGAATTTAAAAATATCATTAAATGAGAGTTAGCCCTGTCTCCAATAACAATATCTGCATGATTGTCTTCATTAACATCAGCAATAACCATAGACTGGAAATTACTACCTGTGAATTCATAACGTTTTAGAAGGGATACTGTTGGATACCATTCTAATTAAAAATAAAACTTATGTTACAAATAACTAGAATTATATCATCACTTTCTTTTTGATTAATCAATTTTTTAAAATCTTTTTTTTTCGAAAAAAAACTCTACCGTTGATTGTTGCTGGATAAGAATCAGTCGATGTTGTTAGAATTGTTGTTGTTTCTGTACTAATTATCGTTGTTTCTGTTATTGATGTATCAATCGTAGTTGAATTAATTGTTGGTTTGACCTTTTTAGTAAAAATAACACTTATGATAATAACAGTAGTTATTACAATAAGAACAGCGATGATAATAAAAATGAATTTTTTTTCCGATAAAATAAAGATCTAAAATAATAGATTTATTTCGAATAAATGAATAAAATACTTACGATTCTGTTTCTGGAAGAGTAAATTGTCCAAAATTGTTTTCATTGTCTGATTCCGACTAAATATTTAATAAAAAAATTTATTCATTTAGAATTTTTTTTTAAAAAAAGTTAATTGTGCTCGTAACTAACCATTGACTTTGTTCGACTTGTTAATACTTTTCTCGAATGCTAAATGTCTTTCAGAAATATTTTATTCAGAGAATAAATATGCTTTAATCGAGCAAAGATAAGAATATGTTTGACATTTTTTTAATCCGATGTGAAAATTTTGAATAAAAGATCTGATCTTGACTGTGTATTTTCGTATGTTTGTATAAATCAAAATCCAACTTGAATCAATCATTTCTATGTGAAATATTTTCGTTTGAAATAAGATTAGAAACAATCGAACAATTTTTTCTGTTATCGATAAAAATAAAAATTTGTTAATAAAAAGTACTAGTGAACGTAAAATGTATTGACATTTGTTAAAGTTATTTTTATATGAAGAAAAAAAATCTAATATTTATTTCTGTATCCTGAGATAAGATTTCTTACATATTCTGCACATTTGTTTTTCTATGTAATGAAAATAATTTTTCTTTTTAACAAAGAATTTCTTTAAAAAAAATTGAATTAATTCACGTCCAATTTGATTTTATTTCTTCAAATTGTTTCTCTTTAGATTTCATGCATATTATTAGCTTGTTCAGAAAGTCCATGCAACTCATATAGAACTTTCTTTTCTTTGAGTTATTGTTTAATGAATTCACCTTAAAGGGCACAACATTCGGGACAGAATAAACCGTCATTACTTTTCCCATGATCTTTCCTCAACTATTAGGAATATGAGGAGAATTTCTTTTTGAACGATTTTCTTATTCATTTCGTTTTTTGTGATAGTTGGAATTTTGTAAAGGAAGATCGTAGAAAACGGTTTGTGTACTTAAAGATGGTTTTATTAAAAACTCACTGTAAAAGAAATTATCCATGAGTTGCATAGATTTTCAGGACACGATGATATATTTATGATATTTTATTTTTGAGAATGAGGATATTGGGATATTAAATTATTTTTCAAACCTTCATGTTTAGAGAATTTGTTTTGTGCATAATAATTACGTGGAGGAGTTTTAAGTAGATTTGTATATAATCAATATGGAGAAGAACTTGGAAAAGTGAAATAGACTCAATAAGAATCATTTATTTTCTTATGAATGATAAAATAAAATAAAAATGTATATATTGAATCGAAACAATTTCGACTTTAGTCATAATATTGTTTTATTTTATAAGTTTAATGTAACTTTTCTTGTATATTATTTCGTGTGTGGATGTGAATGTTAGCTTTACTATACCCTTACCCTTACCCTTACCCACACCCTCAAATCAATGCAAATCATAAATCAAATATTGTCGGAGGACAGGACGATATCCTCATATGAATTAAAAGCTGAGAAAATGATATGACTTTCATACGATGATATATCTGCATATAAGAAAATTCTCATAAATAAGACAAAGTTCGTGCCATTTATGAGGACTGTTGGCTATAGGATGTTCAACTTGACAATATGCTCTGTCGATATCTTTATTCGTTTTTCAGTTAAGTAGTCATTAGATGGAAGATTTACGCAGATAACCGCTGCATGGTAGTTAAACGATACATTATTGTTTTTAGTAATCGAAACGGTGGTCGTTATTGTTTTATTTGTCAATGTTTGAAATGAGCCAAAAAAAGATTCATTTATGTTGAAGAGCAGACGAAGAAAAAAAAATGATAACTATACCAGTAATCTTATAAAAATAAGAGAATAAAAGAAAAAGAGAACGTACGTCTGTTTTTATATAGCAATGAGTCACATATTTACTTCTATTGCATTAGAATAAGAAAGAAACTGCGATTTAGTCATTGTAAATGATATAACTAGAAATAGTGTTATGATCCAGCAAGTATGTGGATCATATGACGGAGAAGAGATA